TATATATATATATATATATATATATATATATATATATGCATATGTATCTTCATTGCAAGCACTTTGATGACTGGTCCATCTCCCAGCCCTATTCATAGCCTTTCTTTAAAAGCAGCACACAATAGGTTAGACAGTAGGTGTAACATAGTAGCAGACTTTGTTATGGAATTTCTATGCCTCATTTGTTGTTGCTGATTCTCTTTCCCCCTTCTCCCCCATTTGCCTCCCCTTTTACTCCTGTTTTGCACCCCTCTTCTCCTAGTGGCCCCTTTACTACTTTTAGACCATGTGATCCATTATCCTTCCCCACTTCCCTTAGACTTTCTATTTCCTATAAGGCTTGAGAATCTTTCAAAAATGCTTTAATATGTTTCTAAAAATAAATAAATTTTTGTGGAGGAGGTATGGAGAGTTCTTCCCCACATACTTTATAGTACCACAGCAACCCTCTTCCTGTCACAGCCTTCTTTGTGTCTTTTAATTGTTCAATTTATTTAATTGTTTAATTTATTAAAGTAACACTTGGGGCAGGGTGGGCATTGTAGAGAGACCAAGGAAAGGAAGGAATGGGGAACCCCTGAGAGGTTGGAGTGGGGAGCCCCTGAGAGGTTGGAGTGGGGGCCCCTGAGAGGTTGGAGTGGGGAGCCCCTGAGAGGTTAGAGTGGGGAGCCCCTGGAACCAACAGGTCTCAGCTCAGTCATCTGGCTCACCTGTGGTCTTCAGGGGCTGCTCACCTCCCCAGGTCCCTGGAGACACAGGAGGAAATGCTTTTGAGCTCACCAGAAAGTTCTGGCTCATTCCCACACCACACAGTTCTTTGTGAACAAGACCCTTTAAGGTTGAAGGTCCCTCTGGGGCTCTGGGGAGAGGCACTGAGGTCCATACACACATTAAAAGCCTACCACTGAGCCGTTTTCTAGTTTTCACTTGCCAAATTGGATTTGCTTTAGAAGCAGGAGAAAGCGGAGAGCCTATCTCCGTGGAGGCTGGTGTTCATATTTGCATGTGATTTGCATGCAACAGTGTTGCATATTTAATAACCTAGTAAATTGCTCCAACCCGTGTCACTGTGAAGTTGAATAGGCTTTTCCTCCCTTTCTTTCTTTCTTTTATTCCTGGTACTGTCCTGCTGTTTTCATGACTTATCTCTCTCTTCTAACCATGTGACTTCTGATGTGCTTCACCTCACAGTAAGCTGTCCTTTAGAGAATGGACATGGCCATGGACGGTGGGGAGTTTCAGGTGTGTAAGGTTGGGTCTTTGGTGTGTGTGTGCATGTATGTGCATGGCATCAGGAGATCTATGTGTCTTCCTCATTTGTTCCCTGGTAGACTTTCCTGGACTCTGGAGGAATTCTTATTTCTTCTTCTGTGAGGCTGTTGAAAGAGTAACTGAGGAGCGCAGAGCACAGAGTTTGGGGAGAGATGAGAAGATACCGGGAGGTGGCTATGCCCAAAGTCCCTTCTGCGCATGAGCGCAGTCTTCTCTCTAGCGCTGGCCCCTGGTAGACTCCAGCTGGCAGAGAAACGGAGGTGTGCTCTCCTGAGCCTCCCAGCAGAGCCCGGCAGGGTGAAAAATGGTAACCAGTGACCCTCAGCCGCAAACAGCTCAGAGGTCTCAAGGTCACTTGGCCTAACTGAGAGCTAAACTTATCACCTCACTTAACTGCACAGAGGCGCTCCTTGTGTTTCTGTATTGCGTTTGTTTCAGAGCTCAGCGTGACAGGCACACTCTAAGCTGGTCCGGGGTTCTCTGTGAGCTCCTAGTAGGACTTTGTCGTGTTTCTTGCCATCCCCATCCATGCGTGTTTCTCCTCTCCACACCGTGTCCCCTCATGTCGTTTTACTTGTTTCTCAAACCCCAAGTTCCTCTGAGGTTTCATGCCTGACTTAGGAAATGCATATATACGTATTTAAGCTTCGTTTTGCCTTGAGGTAAGGTCTTGCTATGTAGTCTAGGCTATCCCTGAACTAGTCACAATCCTCCTGCGTCAGATTCCCCAGTGCTTGAATGACTGGAATGTACTACCACACCTGGCTCTGTCGCAAATTTTAATCTACACATAAAAGTTACACATCTTTATTGACTACCATGTGATGTTTTGATACATCTATACACTATGTGATGTTTAAATGTTGGCATGATTTCAAATGCAGATGTATGTGCTATGTCTTATAAACATTTCTTGTTTTGGGGTGAAAACGTTCCAAGGACTTCCTTCCATCTCTTTCGGACTGCACTGTACCTTACTGTTATTTACCGATCTGATACTGTGCACACACCGGGAACTCCTCCCTCACTGTAAGTTATCACCTACGGGGCTAAATTTGGGGACTAAACAGTGCCCCATTCTCCCCCCTTCCTCTCTCCAGGTTCCTGCTCTGTTCCACAGTGCTCCCCATCTTCACCAGAAAGAGGTACTCATAGTAGTCAAACCCTGGTGGGAGGGAGTCGGGGTTGCCTGCATCCCTTTGGGGTGTGGCCTAGCACGGCGGCCAGTTTTCCAAATTGTGTTTGGAATTTCACTAAGATCTTTTGGGGCTCAGCCTCTGTCATCCCACCCTTCCTTTCTCTTTGATCCCCACTCCCACCCCAGCTGGTGAGGCCTGTTTCTTTCCTTTCTCTTATACATTATCCAGCCTGGCTTTGGACCAAGAAGCTCTTCGTTGACATCTGAACGTTGAGTTTTTAGTAATTATTCAGATTTGGGGAAAGAGCAGTTAGTAGTAATGTGAAGAGATCAGAGAAGAACCAAGCGACAGGACCGTTTCCTTTCCTTCTCTTTCTACCTGACGGGCCTGGTCTAGCGTGGCTTTGCATGCTGAGCTAGAGAGGGGTGGAGTTCCCTTCTGTTCCGTGGCTTCAAGGTTAGCTAGTTGGCTTGTTAGTTTTTCCCCTCTTAATTAGCTGAGAACATAGCTATTCACCCACTGACTGGGCTGTGGTCTTTTGGATCCAGTTCTATAGCCATAAAAACATCCTAAGATGGTCCCAGAAGTCCTGGCATGTGCTGTCTCAGCACAAACGTCTGAGGCTTGGGGTTCTGCAGGAAGTGACCGGCCAGCTTCCAGAAACAGGCAGAGTTTTGTTTTGAAAAGGTCACAGTGTGGAGAGGTAGGGAAAGATGGTGCCACACCTCACTGGGATGCTCACAGGCACAAGCAAGTATGCAAGGCTTCCAACTAGGAACTAAGGAACAGGGTGGAGCAGGTACAGAACTCAAGGAGAAGCAGCTGCTAGATACAATGAGGGAAGTCCCTTTCATTTGGCAGAAATATGAGTTCCTTGCCTGTCCCAGGGAAGCAGCTGACATTGTTGTCAGGAGAAAAATGACATCTTTTTTAAAAAACGAGGGTAGCAAAAATAGAGATCCAGGAAGGATGCTGCACTCAGAGCATCCTCTGAGTCACTTTCTGGATGCCGCTTCTTGGATTATTTAGCTTTCCTGTTATTTCTGTGAGATTCCCATTATTGTCTACCAATCGGTGCATAATGAATTCCAGAAGACATCAGCAGGCAGTGGGAATACTGTAGGGGAAATAGCAGGCTTTCTGCCTGGGATGGGCAGTACACACTGTAAGCAATAGAAGACACTTCTGGTGGCTGCTGTTAGCCGAACTCAAGCCCTGTGCTCACCCCACTTTGGCTGAGCCAGAATTTAAAGCTCGTTAACCTAGACTTCCTTGTGTTTGACCCTCATGTGTCATTTCCCTAGAAAACTCACCCCAGAAGGTTCTGGGGTCCAGAGGTTGAAAGTGTGGCCTCTTGCACTAGTCGGGCTTGGATAGCCAGAGCACATTGCCTGGGGGCATGGAGCATCTGCTGTCTCAGTTCACAGTGAGAATCCAAACAGCTAGCTGCCTGATCTGGGTCTCAAGGCAAAAGAAGTAATGGAGCTAACTGATTAGAGAAATACCGGACTCACAGTAAATCTCGCTTTTATTGTTAGGTCCTATTATCATTATCTCTTTGGTGATACCAGTCGCCACCAATACTGAGCCAAATAAATAACAGTTCATGAGCTTTAAAGGAAATAGAGGGAAATCGCAAGTCAGAAGGCCCCAATCACCAGGCAAGAATGTAGATTAATTGCTGTTGGATAAGGAAATTACCATGTGAAACTGGGCTTCCTCACACTTCAGAAGATAAAGAGACCTTTGAGGCTGTCTTCTTTGGAAAGAGATAGCCAGGTTTTGACCTTATCTTCTAGGAACACAAGTAATTTGAAGTGTTCAGAGTTAGCCCAGCCCCTTTCCTGAGGCCCACCCCTAGCCCTTCCAGCAGAGGACAGGCGTGATTCTGGATTTATGTGGTGCTTTTAGAGTTGAGATACCGAGAGGCCCCTGGTGGCAGCCTATGAAGAGGTTCTCACTCAGGAACCTGCAGGTTGGACCCTCCACAGCCAGACACCAGGAAATCAATGTGACACAGGGTTAGGCTATCAATCCCTGCACCCAGCCGTCACCGAACAGCAAGGGGCTGCTCTCACAATCTCTGTCAGTGGAGGCCGATGTTCTGAAGTGCCCTAAGAACCTACTGGACAGCTTGTCTTGGCAGTGACTATACTTGGCAGT